GAAGTTTCTTCTTGATCTGTTATATATAATGCATTGAACTAAGTTTAGATTTATGGAATCAATGACTTAGAGAATTTGATGGACTCATCTTTGAAAAAAATAGTAAGCTTATGAGTGGCTTTCCTACTTTGTTGAACAAAATCATGTGGATTTCGAAAACACAATAACCGGTTAGAAATTGAACCGAACCGGATCAATGAGGCTCAATTTAAGTAAACCGGTTAGACCCGACCGATGTCTGGGCCAAACCCGTATGATCCAACACAACTCATCACAGTCCTGAGGGAAGAGAGAAGCGAAGAGTAGAAGAAGATTGGAACCGACAAGGGATTTATGGCTTTGCCTTTTGTCTCTTTTATCCAATCCTCAAACCATTTCCATTGTTTTTCTCTAAGAAAAGGTTAAGTCTTTCTCTTCAACTTCCATTGCAATTTCATAAAGAGTTCATGGTATGTATTGGGTTATTGCAAAAACTGGTTTTAGCTTAAGATGCTAATTTATTGCTTTCAGTTGGGTAATCAAAGCTTTAATTTCATTTGGGTTTCGTTAATAATGCAGAAAAAAAATGAGAATTTTTTTGTGATTTTATGTTACTTCGAAGCTTTTCATGTTTCTTCAATGTGCTAGTTCTCACTTGAGCTATGTTAATGTTGCAGAAAAATTACAACTTGATAGGTTATTAGGATCGTGGAGATCTCATCAGAGATCGAATAAACTTAGTAAAAGAAGGATTTTTCAGAAATCTGCTGTGAAAATGTGTGATAATTCTGCATCCACTTTGCATCTGAATCTCCAACGATCAAAGAAGGTTTGGATATGGACTGAGTGTAAAGAGGTCATGACGGTTGCGGTGGAACGCGGATGGAACACGTTTATCTTCTCATCAGACAATCGACAACTTTCGGATGAGTGGTCATGTACATTATTGCAGACTTCCTTTTGAGGTTTATATGCATACTCTGTTTTGAGGTTGCTCGGTTTTAATTCTATGTTCTGATTTTTGTGGTATGCTTAACGGATATGCAGCGATTTCCTTGATGGATACATTGTTTATCGATGAGAAGCAAGTTAGTGATGGTGCGGGAAAAGTTGTAGCTGCGGTCTTTGAGGTTTCAACACCCGCGGAGCTGCAGAAACTGAAGATCGAAAATGAACAGGCGGAAAATGTTGTTCTTAATTTCTTAGACTGGAAGGTAACTTTCTCGCAGATTGTTGGCATCGACCACATAACTCGCACAGATTAGTGACACAGAGAGTGTCACTTCGCAGTCAATCCCGGCAGAAAATCTAGTGGCAGCTCTCCAAGGAAGTGATAAAACGGTGTTTGCCGTTTCTAATACTCCCTCGGAGGCAAAACTATTCCTTGAGGTTGCTTTTAGTTTGTGATTTTGAATTTTACGTTTTCCCTTGCTTTCAAGAAATGTTGATTCTTGTGTTATCCTTGTCTCTAGGCGTTAGAGCATGGCCTCGGCGGAATCATTCTTAAAACTGAGGATGTTAAAGCTGTTCTTGACCTAAAGGTTAGTATCTCCATAATCATAGCTCCTTTCATTTTGCTATAAACAAGGTTTCTTGTAAATTGCTGCTTTTAAAAAATTATTAGGAGTACTTTGACAAAAGGAATGAAGAAAGTGATACATTAAGCTTGGTGGAAGCCACTATAACTCGGGTTGAAATGGTCGTCGGTATGGGAGACAGAGTCTGTGTTGATCTTTGCAGCCTCATGAGAGCCGGTGAAGGTCTTCTTGTATGTTTGCCTGTATACTCTTTCTCCAGCACGAATCATCAATAGCATTGAAAAAATGAATCCTGTTTTTTTTTTTACAAGGTTGGATCCTTTGCAAGAGGACTCTTTCTGGTTCATTCGGAATGCATGGAGTCTAATTACATTGCAAGCAGACCATTTAGAGTTAACGCTGTGCGTTTGTTTCTTTCATCCGATCAATCAATTCCTTTTGAAGATATCATTCAATATCTCAAGTTAACAAAAGTTTACAGGGGCCGGTGCATGCTTATGTCGCTGTTCCAGGTGGAAAGACGAGTTACCTCTCAGAGTTAAGGACCGGTAGAGAAGTAATCGTCGTTGATCAGAAAGGAAAGCAACGAACAGCAGTCGTTGGGCGAGTGAAAATAGAGAAGCGTCCGCTTATCCTTGTGGAGGCTAAGGTTTATGTATCACACTCTAATAAATGTTTAGTTAAGGTTTATCGATGTTTGATTTGATTTGTAACGGTTTCATCTCTTGCAGCTTAGTGCAAAAGAGGAGGAAATGGGGTTTAGCATCATCCTACAGAACGCTGAAACAGTTGCATTAGTAACTCCTCATCGAGGTTCTTTGCCTCGAATCTCATCATCATTGCAATTTGCTACTTGTTTAACATCAAATGGTTTCTAATGAATGTGATTTCTTCTTGCAGTAAACTCATCTCGGGAAACTGCTGTTCCAGTGACCTCGCTGAAACCCGGGGATCAAGTTTTGATCAGGATACAGGGCGGTGCACGCCATACCGGTATGGCGATACAGGAATTCATTGTCGAGAATTAATCAAAGAGTTTTAAATGAAATGTTGTTTATTCATCATATCTTGTTTTATATAAGTCTCAATTGTTTGGGACTTATTTCTGCGTTTGCATTTGCATTTGCATTTACATATACAAACAAAAAAAAGTTATAAAATAGTTTTGCTAATTAATTTGCATACATTATTTTAATGTTTGCGTTTGGCGCAAAGTTTATAGTTAACATGGAAATTTACATTCACCTATGTGCAAACCGTTAATAGTTTCAACAAAGACAATTGATTATCGAAAGTACTACATTGTTAGTGTGTCATTTCTAAAATTGAGAAAACAAAAATATATCAATGTAAACATTTACATTCTATTTATAGAACTAACTAGACCTGTGGTCAAAATTAACTGGTGAATGACTTGTTCCTAGAAATTTAGTTTTTCTTCGTTCATCAAACTAAGCTAACAAGAAAGAAAAATTCAGGTGAACGCCCATGAATCTCTCTAATCATCTATTATTAGGCTATATGAAAATGTATATATATCATTCAAAATCCACAATCCAAACCCGCACTTCCTTCATTTTCATTTCTCTATTTAGTTTTTTTTTTTTTTAACCTTGCCATCAATACAACCATGGCAAGGATCTCTCTGTTGTTCTCTTTAGCCTTAGTTCTAGCCATTGGGTCCGTCTCGGCTCACTCGCCTAACCACAAGAAAACACAAAAGACCTTGTGTCCATCCACTTTGTCCGGACTTCAAAGTTACCCCTTCAACGAAATCTCTAACATCATCGAGAAGAAGGCTTACGAAACCGTAGATGAAACCACACAATTCAAGATGTTATTCGCCATCTGCAGGGGCTACACCGAATATCTCGGTAACTTCCAGAACTTTAAAGGAACCAAAAACGTGTTCGACATGGTTCATGCCAAATACTCCACCATGAGCAGCGCAATGCTTGCTGCCCAAGCAACCGTTGGTGTTGAAGGGTCACTCAGCATTAAGCTGATTAAGAGTTACATCGGGATGGCTCGAGGCTTCATTGAGCTTTCTGAGAAAATTGCCGAGATCTCGACTAAGTATAAGTTCAAGGCCAACGCTAAGATAAGCCAGAGTGAAAGGACAAAGATTGACAACTGTTTGATTAAGTTGAAGGGTTCCCTTAGGGTTTACTTCAAGGTGATCGGTGAGATCAGCAAGAAATGCTCTGCCGAGGGCGATATCGAATTTAGAGCCAGAATTGGTAGAGGTTTCCTCGGATCTTTCGTTAAACAGAATGCTGGATTTGGCGGTCACGCCAGAGCTAATGTTGGAGTTCTACTAGGAGCTCATGCC